TTTGGTTAGGAGAGATCCTCCATGTATTTGATTGTTGTTCCTTAAAATGTCACAGGGGAGTGGCTATAGACTTTGAATATACCTGTGAACCCACCTGTGGATGCTTTGGGAGTTATATTTGTTTACATAAGCAAAATCAGTTAAAGTTTCCTTTATCGACACCTAACGCTTTCCGTCCTCTGCCACACTCTCACAAACCAAACACAGAAAAGCTAAACGAACAATCCACATCACGGAATTAAAATGATTTAAATATGGTGGCTCGTGTCAATGGAAACCACTTTTATAACTAAATAACTTTAGCATCTCTTCAAATATGGAAACGTTGATCATCTAAAGCCTCTTTAACACAATGCGTATGGACCTGAACATGCTGGCTTCATGTCTAGGTCAGCATCCTGGTTATTAGAGACCGGTAGGTCACACCTAGTTGTATGTTGTATTTAATCCCTTGAAACACAGCACACGTCTTCAGGGCAAACAGTCGCATTAATGGACGACCATGTAAAGCAACGATGGGCCTCATATCACCTGCTTCTCAGCTGACTCTTAAGTTATACAGCACTATCAAAGCAGTATTTTCGGAAATCTTAGGAATCATTTATGATCCCTGAAAGTTAAAGATGACAATAACAATTCTCAACTAGGTAACTTTCTCAATTTTTAAACCAAGTTTAGACTAAATTAACATAAGTGTGGCAAAAAAAATAGATTTTGTTGTAACGACTTATTTTCCTGTCGCTGTTACTCATCACTCAGGTATGTTGTGTGGACTGGTGAAGTGCTACGGGCTAAACAATAAAACACGGCTTCACTCAAAGGTAGAGGGACTGTCTGAATCCAAGAGGCGCTCAAGTCCTTTGGGTGGTTACTGCATTTGCCTACTCCTGTCCTTTAGCAGCAGCTGCTGGGACCTGCCAGAGAGGCAGCTTCACAAAACACATAAAACACATCACAATTACAAAACTTTATTGTAAAACTGCTCGGCTGAAACCTCGTAAGAAGAGCCAAACAACAATACGATGACCACTAAAACCTACTGGAAAACGTCTTACCACAATGAGGAAAATAGGATTATTAAAAATTAATAATTCAAACCACAGAGGTATGGCGCCTCCAGAACACAAGTTCCATAAAACACTTACCAAACCTATAAAATCTTAATGCAATCTTATCATGCCACACTGGAATTGAACATGTGTCTAAGGAATTTTAACATCAGCATGCTAGGATATTTGAGATGGTTAATTGGTTTCTTCCTCATTCATTGGAGTATAGAATACATACGCCTAACACTAATGAGGGCACTATGTTCTGCCTACATAGGAGGGGAGAGCTGTGTTTATTCAATGTGTCTTTGTGCTTAGCTCAGTTGCAAATGACGTGACTTCCATTAATATCTGTAAGGCACAAATTCACTGTAAATATTAGCTATCGAGATGGGCAGATTGATCTAATTCTACATTTAGATGAAAACTTTTGTTCTAACGCCTCATTCTCAGACTAAGTGCTCTGTATCCAAATAAAGCACAAGTCATAACCAAGTATGATGAGGAAAGAAAAAGGGGTCACGTTAAGATTAAAGTCCAGATTAAATTCCAGATGTAAACACACGTAGATTTTAATAATAAACACAAGAATACCAATAACGAGAAACCGATTTTGAAAAGAGCAAAGAAATTGAACAACGGGTGAAAGGATCTTAAGTTTTTAGGTTCAACGCTGCAAAATAAAAGAGGATCCCGAGTCTTGCCTGTCAAGTTACATCACTCTCAGGGGAGATTTTCATAAGAGGCACCCATCCTCGGGCAACTCCGGGGCACATCATAAAATGCAAACCGACACATGTCCCCCATCACCAGCCAAGGTTGCCAACTGTCTGCTTGATCTAAATAGGGGGCACTTGCCTAGGAAAAAAAAAAGGGATAAAGACGGCTGTTAAGCTCACAAGGCACACCTGACTTATCCATTTCGATATGATCTATGGCTCGACACCTGATGCCTGAAATACGGCCGCCTAAAATAAATAAAACCAACTGGTAACTGTTACGGAGTGATCAAAAACAAAGAGATCCAAAAGTCTGACCTCAGTGGACAATGAACGACGCAGTGGTTGTAGGGCATGCCCTTAGACTTGACAGTAAGAAATCTAATTTCTAAAAGTAAGATGCGAATTTGATGGGAATTATAAAAACATTGCTGTCACAAGCAAAAAGTAGGCGTTTGGTCGTCTCCGGCGTGGGAGATCGCGACGAAGCCGTCGTGGAGAGACAAGACACACACCCGGGCTGAGGCACAATCGTCCACCATTACGCCTCCATAAAAAGGCTTTTCACGGTTGAGCTAATCTGACAAAGTTCTGAGATCAATGGCCCATAAAGCCACATCCGTACCCCTCCCTGGTAACAAAAAAAGGAGCGAGGTGTTAGAAATATCCGGCGAAAACAGAGTTGACTGTATTGATATATACCTAAGTGGGGCAACTTCGCCCAAAAAATAGCCTTCTATTTTCAACTAACCCATCAACAACAACAAGCTATCGCATGCTAACGTTAACTTGGCTTGCCAACAACAACCTGTCCATCTGTCCGGCTACAAAACCAGCGGCTAAGTAAAGCGAGCTACCAGCCTTCAATGACTAGCAGTATTTCCAGACATTATTGACCCGACACATGGACGCCTCGCCCGTTGAAGTGTGGTGTACAACTAAATAACAGTGTTGGGCACGAGTGTTTAAACGCGTCCAAATTGCGATACACCACAGACAATGAAACCAACTCCGTCTCAGGCAGCAGCGAGTACAGCCAGGCTAGCAGGAGCATGCTAAGTTAGCCTGCTAACGCTAACTCGCTGGTCACTCGTATGCATAGACCGTCGCTGCATGTATTCGCCAATAATCAAGCCTTAATTACACACGTTAAGTGGCACTCTCGTTCCAGACTTCTTCAGCTTCTTTATGACTAAGTAAACAGCATAAGGTCCCTTACACACAACTAACGGTGCAGTATAAAATAAGTTTTGACAGAAAAGTTTAGTCAATATTACCATACTTTTGAGGCTTGTTCTTGGCAGTCCGCACAGAGCGGAGGTGTATGCGTGTAGTCGAGCGACACACAAATTGTTACCTTGCACGTTAGCTGAGATCAAGCTATGCTAGCTAGCTTAACTTGCGTTAGCTGGGCTAACACCGCCAGAGAAACTTCCGTCGTCGTCATATTTTAATTGAAAATGAGGATATCGGATTAGATTTCAACACAGTAAAATAATGATGCACGAACTTACGGAGTCTAGGAGGAGCTTGGTCGAGTCCCCCCGCGATTTTCAGCACAGTTTATTATCAGTATTTAGCTGGCTTTGCGTAAAAATCCCGGGGATCCCCTCTCTTCTGTCCGCTGCCACTCCGGTTGCCAGATAATGTAATGAGCTACCACAGGCGGCGTCATGCTGCGTTCATACACACCTCGGAAATAATAAGTGCTTCTAAAACACACACTTACTCACACACATTCATGAATACATATATATATATGAGTAGATATATGTGTGTGTGTGTGTATATATATATATATTTATATACACAAACACACCCACACATTTATCTACTCATATGTATATATATAAACTTTAAGGTAAAATTGAGCAGACAAATAGGTGAATCTAAGATTTTGGTCTACCAACCCAAAGTAAATGTCCTGCATTTATGTTTGTTTTGTTTAATCAGCTTCAGACTACAGTTTCCGCCCTCCGCAGAGAACCTCTCCTCATTTCTGAGGTGCACATTGTCCTAAGGGTGTGGTTGTTCAGTCAACTTCTGGACTAAAACCAAATGGCTGAAGCACTACTCATGCAACTGTTGCTACCAGGGTCGATAGTTGTTGCAGTTGTGTGGTTACTCTCAATAGAGGAATAACAGGTCTGCCTATATTGATAGTTAACCACGGTGAATAGCATTGTACTAACAGCATATCAAGATAGGCAGATACTTGAAATGCCTTATTATAGTGTTGAAGGAATGCTTCCTTTTTTCCCAAAAGCTCACAAAACCTGCACATCCTTTTTTAATCTCTTGCATATTTGAACAAGTCCGGTAATGAGAGGAAACATACTTAGTTAATCAAATAGCAACAAGTAAATCCAATCATTCATTACCATGCTTATTTTATATTCATTCTATTATTACACAGATAAATCAAAGTTGTTTTTCTGAATGATCTACATGAAAGATGTATCATAGAGAATGGAACAACTCTGCTATTCTGATGAGACACAAAGGATTTGAGCTTCAAGTTTCAGTTCAGGTGTTAAAAAACTGACTGTGTATCATCCTGCAGGTAAAGATATTTCAATGCACAAGCAGATTGTGAAGCAGGTAAAGATATTTCAATGCACAAGCAGATTGTGAAACTGAATATTTAGTGTAAATGTTTGGTCTTCCTGTTGTATTTCAAAGTCTTAATTTACCACTTTATCCTGTGGGGAAACAAATCTTTTCATGTAACATGATCTCACAAAAAAGCTGAATCACCAAATGAAACTACAGGAGTTGCTTCCATATTTACACTTAGTCATGTAGTCAACCTGAGCAGAAAACTAAAGGTTGGACATAAGTTGGAATCAGTTTATTCTAGAATATATGCTATGAACTTTGGTTTTAATAAAAGAGCAAACATCAGAAATAGCAGAGGCAATATATGATTAAAGCAAACACTTACTGTTCATTTTCCAACACTGAAGACTTAAAACAGCTCACAAATGTCACTGACAAACACAGCTCTCTTCCTACCTCCACAGCGTAAACCAACTCCCGAACGCAATGTCCAAAAGACTTCGGCTGAATGGGACTCAGTTCTGGTTACTGAGGACACCATCCAGTCAACGGGCTTAACCTATGTAGGTCCAAAATGACCCTCATGTTTAAATCAAAACTGAAAGTAATCTCAGTAAGCATGATAACCTGCTGACTGTCATGCCTACAGAATGAGGCACCAGTCAATAGCCGATCAATTTCAATCATTCTTTTATTGGAAAATTATTGAAAACAATGCAAGAATTAAAAACATAGGCATTGGATAAAATATGGCTAGTACTCAAGCTTAAACTGTGCCCTTACAGTGCTTTAAATACCAAGCATTGGGATACCTACATAGGATAGCTAAAATAATACATATCACACTTTACTAAATTGAATTTATAAAATGTCACTGTACAATAAAGGTTCAACAAGTGGCAAATCTATACAAACATACTGTGAAGAGAGCCTTTAGTGAAACTATCAAGACAAATTAAAATTTCAGAAAATAAAATATTTTTGTAATATCTGAAGAAAGCTCCAAAAGTCTAATCATGATTAAAAAAAAAAAAACGAATAAACAAAACAAACCAAAAAAACTAGTAGCCAATAGAAATGAGTCTTTTATGGAAATTTTTCAAAAAAAGTATCTGTGAAGTTTTTTTCTTTAGTTTTTTCTCCTCTTTACAGGGTATAAGTCAAAAGATATGAATTCCACATGTATTCATATGTTCAACGTTTCTGTGGACATCGTGGATGGTGAACCCTTACAAAACAACGTGCATCGTTGATTTGTAAAATGACATTTTTCCAATTGCTCTTATCTGAACATAACTTAAATGATGCTTCTATCATTCCTACAATGGATTTTGTGCAAAAAGAATCATCAATAAAGATTTTATTGTTAGCAACCTAAGTCAAAAACTATTGTACAGGAGTCCACTTCAGTAACTTCCATGGGAAAGCAAAAAAACATTCATACAAAAGAAAAAGGCATGAAGTAAAATATATACCAAAAGTTACAAAAATAGTAACATGAATAAATTAATTTATTCTACATTTCTTTACTCCCCCATCTAACCCGTTGTTTTCCAAATAACGTGGAAAAAAAAAAACCTGGCAAACGTAGAGAAGGGTTCCTATAACTGGGCGATGAAGCCCTTTTGTACATTGCCATGTGTCCTTCAGTCCTCTGATCAGTCCGTCCGTGTTCTTGTACCCTGCAGGTGTCAATGCCATCTGAGCATGAAATACATGTACAACAGCAGCTGTAACTGTTTTACAACTTCAAAAAAACAAAAACATTAATAGTAGACCACCAGGAACAAATGTTGAGAAGCAAATAAAGTGAAGGTCCAATGTGTCTCCTGTTAAACTCCTTTTAAGCTACAGTGGTCTGGAAAGCAGGCTGTTAGGCATCAAATAGCTGCTTGGGACATTTTACCAGCTACAATCACATGCGCCACCAGGTTCCTCATAGCAGGCTCGCAAGGCTGGTGGTGGGACCATTCTGGGCCTGGATTTGAACGGGAGGGGGGCCGTCCGTCCACTGAAACACAGAGACTTTCTGTAACTACTTTGCAAAAAAAACTAATCTTGAAGAAAATGTATGGGTGAACAAATATGGCAAAACATGCGAAGGACACTAAAGGAAAAGTGAAAGCTGGGCATACACTGATGAGGTTATGCTCGGGGAGGCTGCAGGCGGCGATGTGGTCCTGCAGCAGCTGCTGGGAGAAGTTCTGGTGCATCTGCGCCGCTTCGTGGGCGTCTATGTTGTTTCCAAGGGCCTTGTTCAGGTCTGCAGGAGCACGGTCAAAATAATAGGCACAAGTTTAGAAATGTGGCAGACTTTGCTTTGACTTTGGCTTTGGTGTGTACCGGTAGTTTTAAGGGGGCCAAACAGTCAAAGGTGTGAGGGGAAAGTCTTTCGTACCTTTCAACAGTGCTGAAGACCAGAGCTGGACAGACATATCTGGGATTTTGCTGGCCAACTGCATGGCAGGTACCACCATGTTGTTGCTTTCCTAAACAGAGAGGAAGAAAGATGTAAAATTGCAGGAATACATAAAGACTATATTTGAATGAGAATGGACTTTTCGTATCCTCTGCAGGCAGCAACCAGCTGTGGGGACAGTGGGCCAACAATTAGCTGCATTTTCACTTCTGTTAAGCAGAAATCTAACAAGTCAAAACAAGTCATTTTTAACCATCTGCCCATTTCTTCCACCATCTTTGGGTGATGGCAAATTAACGACAGTGAAATATGTAAAAGCTCAACTTTTCTTCCTTTTTAACCAGAAAAATATTTTCCCACATGGTGTTATTTAAATGAAGAGTGATATCCTACACGTAGGAATAGAACTCATCTAAATCCACCTCGAAATGGTTCTTTCGGTCACAGTACGATAAAAACACCGTAACACAAACTGCTTAATCACACAGCTCCCCTATCACCTCTATATGTGTGAAATAGTGTCACACATGAATTTAACCCCATACAGTTACTCCACTGTCTTCAAACCTCTACACTCCAGCAATAAATATTTTTTAAACTCATCAACAAATATGCTCTATGTCCTATTTTATAGTTTAAGTTCATGTAGACCCCCAACACACAGTGCAAAGCAATGCCACCTGCTGGCAGGTTACCTGAGCTGTCCCTTTAAGGGGGAGCGGGTTAATGTTGGTTATGCGTGTCCGGAAAACAACTATTTAGGCTGAAAATAAGGCCGGCCTGGGCTCTGTGTGATATGGTGCGTGGTCTTACTCTGTGGTTGCCCAATACGTAGAAAATGTGGCCCAGCAGAACCAGGGAGCAGGCGGTCAGCCTGTTGAGATCCTCGGCATTGGACATCTTCAGAGTTTCCCTGAGGAAACGTCTGGAACACAACGGGAAGTCAGGTCAGTGCAAAGGCGGATCAATAGGGGTTTGAGTCAGACTTTGGAGCTGCCGTACTTTGCCTCGTTGTAGCGTCCCTGAAAAAAGGACAGGAGTCCTCTGATGTAGAAGGCTGCTGCACGCAGGCAGTGGGAGCTGAAGGGAAGGAAAGAGAAGCGTGTTTCAGTGCTCACAAATCACTCTGCTGTGATATATTGTGTTGCATAATAATCTGAAATTACCTAACGGGGAAGTTATGGTCGGGGTTTATTCTTTCCAGGAGGCTGTATAGCTGGAGGGGAAAAAAAGTACATGTAAAAAAATGATATACAGAATATTTGTTTATTCTTCAGTTTTCATGTTTATGACTTTTAAAACTAAGGGGCTGCTCTTAGTCTTGGAAATGGATTAGCGTTACACAGCTCATTTTCAAAGGAGATTGTTGGTGCTCTCTGGTGGAAACACAATGTAACAGCAACATCCTTTTTAGGTCAAATCAAACATGGACTTCCTGCATAATTGTTGCTAACTGATGGGAAGCAAACCCTGAATAAAAACACAAATTTATTCATCAACCTCAGAATCAAAGAAAAATGTAAGCAAAATGAAGTAAGTAAGTAAGTTTTTTAATCTGTTTCCTTTCGCTTTACTTCATCTTATCTAACTGACCTCCTGGTGTCGGTTTCCTTCCCTTATGTACACGCTTGCCAAGTTGGTCACAATGTACGTCCACAGCTCCTGGTGTGTGGTCAGCTGGAGCACAAACAACAATTCCAACATGTCAGGATGGGAAAGGGGGGAAAAAATAGACTGAAGGAGGCGGTACACGCTGGAAAAAGATGTGATGAGAAGGGCGAGCGTGTGAGGAGAGGTGTTACAAGCACTCACCCTCAAGGCTGTGGTAAACTGTGCTTCTGCGTTATCCATACAGTTCACTGAGATACAGTACAGACCCTGAGAGAAGAAAAACAAAATACAACTTTTATATATCTTGAAAAATAGTCTTTTTTGTTGTAGAGCATGTACTACTGTTAGTCAACCATGGCTTATCACTATCATGAAATATTCCCTTTGTTTTCAAAAGATGCTAAGTTTACTTAATTTGAAAGTGAGTGTAAACTGACTTTTTGCCACTACTTTGATATTCCCATCTTAGTCAGTTGTAGAAGCAGGTCAGTAGGTGGCACCCACCCCTACATGCCTGTTCACACAGCCATACTGAAGAGGGCTTTAGTTTAAAATACTCACTAGTAGTGTGTGGAGCTGAGCAGCGTGGTTGGTGAATAACCTGGGAGACTGTTGGCACAGCTGACAAACCTGCGAGATCTGAACAGACACAACAGGCAGAAGTGAGTCGGATCACTTTCAGAAACTCGCTGCAGCATCAAAATCGCGCTCAAGCCTGCCGTATTTATCTTCTTCCTACGATGTGGGTTATGAAAAAGAGTCCAATCAAAACAACGTACCTCCTGTAATGCAGTGGCCTTGTGGCCTGTGACCAGTCGGCACATGATGATGTGCTCCAGTAGAATAACTTGGAAGGTAGAGAGGATGGGGCTGCAGTCCAACACTAAAAAACATGAGGTGAAGATTAAGAAATATCAATGAAATAAGCTAGCGACAAACATCCAAATTCAGAAATGAGTGACTGTGAAGGCAACTCACTTTTTAGCTTCTCCAGCTGCATAAGAGCTTTGTCGGTGTACTTCTGGGCTTTCTCCAGATATCCCGCTTGCATGGAGTGCATGACTGTGACCTGTGAGCCAAAGGGGGGAAAACCTTAAAACCAAGCTTCTACTTTGGGGCGTCCCAACTAAAAAAGGTGGCCGGGCAGAGAGGAGAAAACGAAACAGAAGCCAGCATTACCAAATAAACGAGGACACACATGTGCTCCTTGGGCAGCCAGTGGAACAGGTCGGCGGGGTTGCTGGGCAGGATCTCGTCGTCGTGGAGTGTGGAGATGGTCTGGATGCACTGCTGCAGCTGCTTCAGACACGGCTTTACGCTCTTCACCTGCACAGGGGCACAAGTCGGAAGCGGTCACTCCCTCAAGTCCACATAGATGGAGAGGCCCGTGAGCAAACCCATCCAGAGTGGACTTCCTACCTGTCCAGCGTCCAGGTAGTGTGTGACCTGCAGCACCAGGAAGAAGACCCTCAGAGACTCCTTCTGGATGGGGTTCCCCTGCCAGTTTTCCACGATAGTTCCACACAGTGTGAGCAGAGGGTGCACCTCACCAAGTTTCCTCTCCATTAGCAGCAACTAGAAAGTAAAGGGGGAAAAAAAATACAGAACGAAATATTTAACAGAAATATGCCACTGAACAGGATAAGTGTACTCTGGTGTAACTGAAAATTTTTTGAGGCCATTTTTACAGAGAAGGCTTAAAGAAAAGACTCACCATTCCTTTACTAAGAAGAAACAAAGCCCTGCAGAGAGAGAGAGAGAAAAGACATAAATTAAGTGTTTGTCATCAGTTAACACCAAAAACTTCAAACATGTGAATTGGAGACAGTGTTACAAAGACAAAGAAGTGGGAGTGTTACTGAAAATATGCCTGTAAATTAAGACAACCACAAGAAAACCTGCTTCTTTCCTTCATGTGTATGCACTTTTCTTCTAATTAGTCACTGTCTAAATGTTGCTGAAATACCTCCTATTCAACATCTGTATATACAGCTCTGGGGCTCTTAAACCCCACACAGATGCAAAGTACCGACATCACTGCAGAACCACTCAGGTAAATAGAATCTAGGAAAATAAACAGCACTTGAAAACATAAAGAGGACCTCCAGGGCTACGCCTGCTCAGGAACACGCGTTTCTGTGATCACAAACCTAGCAGGACACTGATTATTATTCAAAAAGAGGAAGAAAAAAAAAAAACTAGAAAACAATATGATAACTTCATAATAATGATCCAAAACCGTTTGAGGTCAGTTAAACCTGTACTAAAGCTTATCCTCTCCAACACCTACGCCTCAGTTCTGTGGACGGGGAGTGTTTGAACTCCTGCACCCAAAAAGATCATTTGCAAACGTCATTACAATCAACACGCAATCAGAGTGACCTCTCTCACTCACTCACACACTCATCTGACGCTGATCGCTGTCAACTCACACCTTTGATACTAAAAGTGATGCAAGTGTGTCGTTTCGTTGGGTCGGAGGTCAAAGTTGAGCTGATGCTGACGTGCAAGGCACTAAAAAAGGTTAAAAAGTTCCATGTAGAGTAGGGATGGGCAACTTCAGGCCTTAAGAGCCCCTGTCCTGCAGGTTTTGGGTGTTGCCCCGGTTCAACACGAAAACCAGCAGTCATGGAAAATTTACCTTTTGAAAAGATCCATTTTATCTGAGTCAGCAGAACTGAAGCAGAAGAAGATCTGGATGGTGGCCCCTTAAGGCATGGAGCTGCCTACCCTTAGTTTACACCACTGTACCCAACAGTAAAAAACATCTGATTCTGTAATGCTGGTTTAGTGTGTGCGACAGCACAGATGAGGGGAATGTGAAAGAGTTGATAAGTGGCAACTTAAAAAGCCCGTCTTTTAAGATCTGAGAAGTTGGGAAAATGTCAAAGAGACTACAGATTCAAAGTGCTAAACTGGCCTGGATGGGTACAGATGGTGCATTACATACATAAAACCACTGGTCGTATTCCAGATGTTCCAGAAGTGTATAAGACGCTGTGTAAGTGTATAAGACTTCACAGATGTTAAAAAGAAAACAAAACCCAATCAAAAGGAAAAACATAACCACTTTTACTGAACTTAATGGATACAGAGGCAGCACCACAGGTGGGTTCTGCATTATGTTGTTCAATTAAACTCTGTTGACAGCTTAAATATAATGAACGACCCTCTTTCTGTATCAACACATATTTTTCCCTGATGGCACAGGTCCATTCAGACCAGACCTTAACCACAAAACCGTTCTCATGATCCACATGAGCAAAATTTAATGAAATCCTCTTGTGACACTGCGCAAGCTCAGCAAAGCAGTGGAAAAAGAAACCACAAGCAAGGTGGTCCAACTAAACACAATTTTTACTGTTACCAAAACATTCAGACTTTTAAAACAAACATAAATCCTCTTTCTACAACTGTTCCACCCCATAAAAAAAATACTTCAGAAAACCTAACTGGACCTTCCCTGGATCTACTCATATTGAAAAAGAAAACTGCTAAATCCAGATGAAGACTGATACAACAATCAAAATCGTGTCAATTACTATTTATAAAACTCTGTCTTGGTGAAACACTATTGTGATATCCAGGAAAAGCTTTACATGTGCAATCATTCCGCCATATTTACCTGGTATACTCGGAGCCCACCACCCGGGCGTACTCTGCTCCCACACCCAGGAGGTCACATGCCGACACCAAGTCTTTCTCCAGCGTGTGGAGTTGCTGAGAAAAATAAGAAAACCAAAAAGACATTCAATGGATCATAACTTGGTACATTTTACGATAAAAGACAAATTACTTAGACAGCTTTGGAGTTGCACGGCTCCAGTAAAACGCGCGCTCCCATTTGAACTTTTACATCTTGCTCGACACGTATTTGCAACTGGAGTAAATGAAAGAATTCCACCAGAAGACATGTTTGCTGTCCTTACCGCCAGCTGGAACAATAGTCTGCAGTGCCAGTATGGGGTTTGTTGCGAAATCTGGATGGCTTTGCGCAGTAGGGGTTTTGCTGAGTCCACCAAATTCTGAAAAAACGTGCAAAAACTGTATCAGTAACAATTCACAGATCTTGATTAATGAGAAATTGGACTTCTATTAGAATTCCAGGATTTTTGCTTTTCATCCATTTATCCTGGGGGCTGATGAAATTATCCACTGCTCCGTCCACTTTCGTTGGAAACTAAAAGTGATCTTTGAATTACATTCTCGTCATTTGAAGTGATTTACCTGTTGGCAGAAGAGTTCTGACAAAATGCTGGCTGCTTCAAATTTAACATCTTCAAACTGAGGAACTTGTTGAGATATGTACCACTGTAAAACAAAAGACATAGAAAGGTGGCGGTGAGTCAATTGGTATCATTTTGAGTCCACAATAATCCCTGACAGCACTTTCTTTTGCTAACACCGGAGAAACAGCGAAAGAAGATGCCCGGGGACCAGTATCTACTAAACGATTGCCCAAATTAAACTTTTTCTAAATTTCTTACATACGAACCTGTTCATAATTGTAACACTAATACATTGCTAAATGCATTGCAAATAAAAGAATTCCGCCGTTCCTTGTTTTCGCTAGCTGCGGCCTACGCTAGCCCCGTTCACCGAAGCATCCCCGCTCTTTCCTAGCTACGGCGCCCCTCACCGCTTTCTCCAGGTGGCTGCGGGCCAGATCGCTGTTCTTGGTATGGTGGTAGAGAACCGAGCCCAGCTGAAGATGTGTCCGAGCCTCAATCCTCTGCGGGGGCTTAAACTGAAATACGGCCTGTAAACAGTGCACGCATAGCCGTATTTTGGGTGGACTGGAGGTTCGGAAATGTTCCGCAAAGCCGAGAAGGGCGAGGTACCAGCGCTCCGGGGCCTCTACGTTTGACGCCATTTTCCCAGACAACAACAAGTTTTTCAGCGCTGCGTCCAGACCTGCGGGTTGCCAGGTTCGGTCGAAAACTACAACTGACAACCAAACCATCGCCGTTACTGAGCTAAACTCTTTCAACTTTTTATTAACATTTACTTTTTATTTATTTATTTTTATCAGTAGAAATGAAGATCTTTATACTAATTCAAACTATTACATGTGAAATGCACTTAATATAACAATACAATATAAATATACTGAAACTTGTTCCCTTTGACACTAGAATTAAACCCTATTTAAAGGTTGATTTAATTCCATAAGTAAATGAAATTATAATACAACTATAACACAATAAGTCTATCAATGAAAAGGTTCACCTAACAGCTGACACACAGAAAAAAATCATACTAGTTGATTTGTCTTTGTTGTTTTTTTCTCCATATTACCCCTTGAAGTAGGAATGTGGTGAATTCTGCATTCCCAAACCGATATAAAATGAAGTTTCCTTTTCCAGTGGGATACATGTATGTTGTTGCTTATTTTGTCAGAGTAATTCATTATTTAAAAATATATATATATATTGGCATCACTCAAACTTCAGAGGAACACATGCACACACATACACAAATAGACATACATATATATATGTATAAAAGTCAGGGTAACTTTGTTAAACTCATTTAGATGTTCTAAAAATACGTAAATTATGAATACAAATTCAAAGTAAGAGAATGTGTGAGATAGAAAGAAAAGTAATTCACGAAAAGAAAATCTAAGCAAGCTTCGAAAAACCTGGCAACCCAATGTTGGACACGATCTCGCGGCATTTTACCGGGACAGGGGAAGTAGCATCTGGGTATTGTAGTCCAAAACAGAGGCACAGACTGTCCCAGTTTCTTTAAGACCTCCTCAAATCCAGAATAATCTCGAGGGCTGGGGCAGAGGGGCAGTTCCAGGCTGTGTGTTATCACGCAGGCCACGTCTATAAACAGACGAGTGCGCGTGTCACCTGTCTTTGGCAATCATTACAGAAAAAACGTCAACAACACCAAGGAACGTGACACCTCGTACAGTTTGGCGAGTTTAAAGAGCGAGAGAGCAGCCCGTTGTGAGCAAACAAGAAGCTGCGTGCAGGAAGCTGCAGGGCAGACTGCAGGAAGATTTCACGCGTCGAGGATTTGTAAACACGGACTCCCTCTGAATAACAAGCCCAGGTAAGTCATCTAAGTCATGCAGCATAAAAACGCTGCACGGAGACGTATTATTCAGTCGTTGTTTTGCACCGATATTTATTTATTTATTTATTTATTTATTTATTCTCTGAGCCATAATCCACCTACTTTAATCTTGCATAATATAGAGTTGACACAATATATTGTGTCGAATAGTGTGAAGTGAATGTTGCATTTCGTTACGTGCTCGCAGATAACGGGAGATTGGGATTGAGACACCCTTTACAAAGCCAGTTTGTGTTTCTGAGGGCACACGAGCGTGAGAGCGAGCACGTACTCGCTGTGGGATCCAAACAGCCACTGCGACACGCAAACCCATCTGCGGGATACTGACTATTCCGTTTGCGTTCGTTCACGTTTTATCCTCTCTCGTGTTTCTGCAGAGGCGAACTTTTGTCCTGAATGAGAGATTGAGCCTCCCACGGACTCGGTCATCTTTAAACAGCACACATGGCCCACCGTGCGCGCGACCAGGGCCGCGTGCCCGTGACCCAGGCCACGGTGCTGACGCTGCCCCCGAACAGCCAAGCAAAGGTGAGCACGCAAATCTTTTTTTTGCACGAGTTGTGCAAAACTTGCGCGAGCACACATTCTTCCAAACACACTCGGCCTGTTTGGACAGGTCCGAGCAGTCTGGGTGTGTGTGTGTGTGTTTGTGTGTGTGTTTTGGACGGGATTTAGTCTAGAAATGCAAGCCAACGTTTAGAGGAAGCCGTTGTGTGATTCATTTTTAATAAATCTGAAGTGGGCCCAGCTCTGTGCCCTTGAGGCAGGGCTCAGTTTTGAGGTGGTGCCCTTATTGTTGAGTCTGGTTTGTCCTGTAGAGCTGGTGGTAAACATGAACATGCCTCAGCTGGGTCAAAGCTATAAATACACAGGGGGTAGCATACTGGTCTAAAGCAGACATCTGTTTTCATAGAAACGCATTTGGCATTTAATACAAATCTGTTTGATAACTCCAGGAGAGGACGGCTACTATGACAGTAGTTTGGAAAAAGCGCAAATATAATGAATAAATTCATTAATCATGGCCGTCAGCATCTTAAATGTTTGTGGAGGAATTTTTTCATTCTTTTGGAGCCTATATCTGTGAGATTTATAGCTTGTGTGCCTCGAGGAAAACTTAAATATAAATAGATTCCTGGTTCCCAAGTTTTGTTGGTGCACAGCAATCATCCTGCCCTGATAATGGACTTCCAGAATGAGGTGTTTGTACTGGTTATTTATTCATTTTCTTCAAGCATAATGATGTTCACAATGGACAAACTTCTCCGCTTTGATCTTGTCTGTCCAAATTATATAGTCCCCATGTTAAAACTCAAGTTATGCTGCTATATTATTTGAATTTCTTCTTAATAGAATTAAATCTTTCTCCTGGCATCTCTTCCAAAAACAACAAAAAAACTGTTAAGCCTTTTCTGAATATGCTGTAATGAACATTAACCACCCTAACTTTAAGACCTGGGTACAGACTCTGAGTACACGGAGGGAGTTTTGGTAAGATTGTGATATTATCGATAAAAGTGGATGTGCTACTCAAATCTTTTAGGGAGAAGTAAGCTATATGGAAACTTGCTGGTAAAGGCTGTGACACGTGTTTGTTCTTCATGCCACTCTTTATCAGTGTGAGATTGTTTATGGGGTTCAACCCGTCCTCTGGAGGAATGGTCTGTGCAATCTCTCTTTCTGTGAAGTGGCGTTATCTCCAGAGTCCGCGCAGCCCCGATCCACATGAATGGTTTTTAGTTATGATGTTGTTGCTGGGGAGGCGCTGAACACTCATTAACACGTGACGCTTAGCGGAGAAGAGATCCGGTCTGACGGGGACTCCATATAACTGGACTTTCATGTCTCCATGCAGGACCTGAGGCCCGGGCAGACTCCCATGGACTCCCTGTTGGGGGGGGCGTTTGCTGGAGCCGTGGCCAAAACGGCCATCGCACCTCTTGACCGCACCAAGATCATCTTCCAAGGCAAGAACAACTGTCCGTTTGAACAAAGAAGAAGGGGTTCACTGTCCATTTACAGATGGAAATAGAAAAAAGGCTGTATTGTATTGCTATTTAGAAAAAAAAGGAACAAGTGCTGCTCTGTTTGTTCCTCTGCTTTGACTCAGGAACAAACCAGAGCCATTGTTAATCCTCTTATTACATGTTTACCCGACATGGGAGAATGCGTTGTGCCACCTGATCCTGACTGTCTCTCTTTCTCTTTTTTTTTTCTTATGACAGTGTCCTCAAAAAGATTTTCAGCTAAGGTGAGTTTCCTTCTTTCCCTTATCAGAAAATCAGGAATGAGTTTTACAAACCCTTGTGACGTTGTGCAGGGATAAGAATGACAATTGTCTGTGCAAAAACACAGCAGCTGATAGCTCCAGCTTCCAAAAGATATTTTTTAAAACTTTATGAGCCTTAATAAAAAATAAAAAAAAGATAAATTATTTTTTCTAACTGGTGTTTTGATTGGTTTAGAGTATATGTAACAGTAATCATTACAAAACCAGTGTTTTAGCTGCAGTGTATTGTTTACACGCCCTCCTTTAGGTGTTCAAGCTAAAGCTCTTTATGTGTTATTTAACATTTGATTATGTAATGGGAATGTCCTGAATACGTTAGGAGGATTAAAATGTTGAAAAATGTGTGTTGTTGGCAGGAGGCCTTCAGGCTCATCTACTGCACGTACATGAAGGACGGGCTGCTCAGTCTGTGGAGGGGGAACTCTGCCACCATGGTGCGGGTCATGCCCTACGCCGCCATCCAGTTCTGCTCACACGAGCAGTACAAAAAGCTGCTGGGGGGCCACTACGGCTTCCAGGGAAAGTGAGTAAAGAGTGTGAGCGAATGTTGGCCGTGGACACGTCGGCTAATTCATTTTTACTGAGAAGATTTTCCCTTTTTTCCCCCCCAGAGCTCTGCCCCCTTTGCCTCGTTTCCTGGCCGGGTCCCTGGCCGGGACCACCGCCGTCATGCTAACCTACCCGTTGGACATGGTGCGAGCCAGAATGGCCGTCACGGCCAGAGAAATGTAAGCATCTAGTATCTGAGGTATCTGTGCATGTGGAGGAAAAGATGGTACTTAAATTCAAATAGGTGGGAGAAATTAGTATGTGATTAAATTATCAAATTAAGTTTTGTTGTATTTTTTTTCTGTATAGCTTGAAATCATATTGAATACTGTACAATTAATGCAGAATCCATGCAGATTAGCACATTATGGGTGAAAAATTATACCAGTGAGGGCAGCTTACAAACAGTTGCAGGCATTGCTGTTGATTGAAGGCCTGTGTTTACTATAAAAATACTTTTACAATTAATTTTTTTAATCAGACTGATTCTCAATTGGGTTAGTTTTAAGACATTCTTTTTAGCTTGAGAGCTGACAGGTTTAAGGACCCTCTATCAGCATTGTTATCAATATTGTTCAGTTTTTTTTCAAGTCTCTGCTTTTAGTTGTCATTGTAATTAGGATCCAGATGCCGCACTCGAGTGCAAAGTCCAAAAAATGTTTAGTTGCCTCATTTACAGTCCTATTAGAGCTAATCATACTTCCAGTGATAAGGGTTTTACTGACTGTGACAATTTCTGGCCTAATTTAAAGAGGATGAAGGTTCACACACATTCAGAATGAGATAAAACTTATTTCCCACGTTTTTAGCTCTCACATGTGGCATTTTCCGCCGCTATGGAGGTTATATGTTATATTTGGCTTGTGAGTTTGTAAGATTACTTAAAGAAGTTATAGAATAATTTATTTAAAGTATTACCAGAGGCAGAATGTGTCCATACTTCCAATTAAAGTTTTCATTTAAAATTTTAATGGATAAATCAGAAAAGAAAAATAATAGTAGTTTCCAACTCTAAAAAAACGATGTCTGAGCTGTGATGCTGTTGCCTCTGCAGGTACAGCAACATCATGCACGTGTTTGTGCGCATCTCCCAGGACGAAGGCGTGAAAACCCTTTACAGAGGCTTCACCCCCACCATCCTGGGTGTCATCCCATATGCAGGGATCACATTCTTCACTTACGAGACCCTAAAAAAACTACACGCAGGTACAACTATTATTTTTTTCTGGTCACGTTTTATTTTGAGAAATGTGTAATGTCTTGGTTCATGTTAAGAAATCGCTCACAAACTCACCCGGTCTACTTCCTGTGTGTGTTTTTTTTCTGCAGAGAGGACGAATCGGGCCCAGCCGTACGCCTCCGAGCGGCTGGCCTTCGGGGCCTGCGCGGGCCTGATCGGTCAGTCGGCGTCCTACCCGCTGGACGTGGTGCGCCGGCGCATGCAGACGGCCGGCGTCACCGGCTCCTCCTGCGCCACCATCCTGGGGACCATGCGCGAGATCGTGACCCAGGAAGGGGTCCGGCGGGGGCTGTACAAGGGCCTGAGCATGAACTGGGTCAAGGGGCCCGTGGCGGTGGGCATCAGCTTGACCACCTTCGACATCACGCACAACCTCCTGCTGAAGTTCCACCAGATGGGCTCCTTCATCCACTGAACCCAAGACCGGACCGGCTTGTGTGAAGAAGAAGTGGGG